TGTTCCCTCTGTGATTAAGCTATTTAATCCAGTTAAATAATGCATGAGGTGTGTGGGACTTTGAAAAATCCATGAAGTACACAGCCAGACAAACGTCTGGCCTTCGGTAAACTTCCGAAAGGAGCTTCTGCAAGGATAAGATGTCATTGGATTGTCGATTTTCCTGTTTATCACGTAAATCTGGCTTCTGATGGCCCCCCCACTCAGGACACTGATTTCTAACTCCAGACCTCAGCTGAGGATTTTCGTTCCTCCGAAATCTGCTCGGCCCCTCGCTGTCCCCCAGGCACCGCCGAAGCGTCACCGAGGGTCAGGTGACCTGCTTGGAGCTCAGCGCTGCTTATGGTGTGATTGCGACAGCGGACGCAGGCCCTGCTGCCAATAGGAGTAGAATCAGGATCGTACCAAAAGGCGGCACATATTGGCAAATGCAAACCTGACAACCTGGGGCTGGACCATCAGCCACCCTTCCCCCACCACTGAAGGATATTTCCTGAACAAGTTTTGGACTTAAAGCAAGAGACAAATGAAATTAAGCTTTATTTGTCATTTATACAACTTTGAGGACAAGTATATTGGATTGGGTTAGTTTTCACATTTTCCATCATGCTTTCCAGTCGGACACACACACAAAAGCAAAGTTTGGGGCCCGAGCAGATAATCAGCTGTTTATCTGGCACTCCTACAGTATCTGATCATCCAGAGAATTTCTTTCCCGGGAATGGAAGGCCCAACAGAGATGTGACTGTTCTGCCGAGGACAGGATTTGAAGTGAATTTGCCAAGCCGCACAGCATCCCTTAGAGAAGTCTCTCTGAGGAGCTATGAGATCATCTGGTCATCCATTGAACTGCTATACCTACACATACACACAACATACATGCATTATTCTATTTTTTCCCCCCCTCCCATCTCCCCGACCACAGAAGCCTTCTCAGCATGCTAATCACACCCCAGTTATATAAACCCAGCGGCGTATCCGTGGCCTGACCCCTATTGACGCGGCCAAAATGAATGGTCCACACAGGCCTTGGGCAGCCTTTCACCGCATCAAAGGGCCTTGTTGTTCTTCTGTGGAGTGGGAGGGGGGGCATTAGGGCAGCCCCCACAGCTGTTTTAATGCCGACGGGGGAGAAAGCGAACGGACTCCGAGCACAGTGCACATCTGCGGCCACGTTTAAGCTGGGAGGAGCCCATGGAGGGTACTGTTAGTAACTGGGGGCCACTTCTGTAAGTACGGCTGGAAGGGATTTGTCTCTTAAGGGTGGGTGCAGGGACTCTCTTTGAAGCTTGATTGGTAAAATCGTCAGAATTTGCTCCAGCATGTCATCCCCCCACCCCCCACCCCCCCGTTGGCCTTTCGCTCTGTAGTGCAAATTCTGAATTTCAGTTCAACTCCTGCAATATGTTCATTGTTAACTGGGGGTGAATTCCCAGTCGTGTCAGACTGGGGGGGGGGGGCAGCCTTAATACAATGCAGTGCCAGACCAGGACATGCATACACACACCCACAGGAGGATTTATCTCTCGTTATCGGCAGGATAATGGTGCTTGACATCACATCCTGCATAAAGAAAGTCAACCCACGTATTCAGAATAGAGCAGGGGGGCCGGGGGGGGGAGGGGTGATTTCTGTCAATGTCAGAACTGTCAAGGATAATTTAAAAGCTTTTCAAGCATTTAAAAGCAGTTTTTTTTTTTATCTCTAAATGGCAAAATAAGCACTGTCTTCAAGTTCATTATATATGTTGATGTTTTTTCACAAAATTGCAGAAACCATTGGTAAGTTTTATTAAAAAGGAATTATAGGAAATGTTACAAGAAACCTAAGGTTCTGTTCGAAAACATGAGTCAATTTTAGTTCACAGCCAATCTATTTACCTCCTCATAGCTATATTACACTATCATACAAGCAAAACATTTATGTACTGTACCGTATATATATGTATATATATAATATTATTGCAAAGTAAAAGTTATGTTCTAATATATTGGTTGCCTAGTTACTTTAGCCACCTCATTAAGTATAAGTCAGTTGTAACTGCATTAGGGCTGTTTATTAACACATTTCTTTAACAAGTAAATTCTAGGCTATGGTACTAATGATGCTTATCCGCACTTTGAAACCACTCCATGTTACAAAACCTCTCCATGTTTCCTTCATTTTCAGTGACTTTTTGGCTTTATCCTTAATATAAATAGCCCATTGCGTGCAAAACATAATTAGTATTTCTTGGAATATTTCTACGTTTACTTAGAGCTGCTTAAATAGCAGGTTACCTAAGTACTAAGGAGTTGAACCCAAGAGCCTCGGCGTTGATGCCAAGATGTCCAAATTAAAGCACAATGAAATTAAACCAATCTCTGCTGGGCGAAGGGTTACAAAGAAGTTCATGGAGCGTTCGCAACTGCAATAGCACAAATTAGACTAGGCATGATTGAATGGCGTGAGTTTTATTACTTGAGAATTACGTTCTTGGTTTTTTGAGTCTCATTTGTTCCATAATTTGATTATGAGGACTATAGTTTCTTGTCTGATTGCTATTCCGCACCCAGAGGAGGTAATCAGGAAGTTGATGGAGGCCCTTGTTTTCAGTTGGCAGTTTACGTTTGCACTGGCACTGCCCAGTCAGAGTGCAGCCGGGATGCTCTGCGCTCCGATAGAAGGCCACGCTGACTGATTGAGTCGCACTGTGTGGATGAGATTTACAGCACATCATATAGTTTCCCCAGCAGCTTCGAGCAGCTGTTTCGGATCACGCCCCCATTCTGGAAAAGCCCACTGGAGTCAGAGTAGAGGGCAAAGCAGACGACACCCAAGGGGACGGTGTTCCCTCGTCTTCGCATTGGCGCTGTGAAATATGCCTGCCATTACCCTGGCAGACGCCTTCTGAGCGGTGATGGTGCTGTAAACGGCAGCTCTTCAAGACCCAGTCCTCCCTGTTTGGCTCACCTCATGAAATCAGGGAGGGGGGGGGGGGGGGGTCACCGGAGTCCATTTGTCATCCGTGAGTCTGGGGAGCGCGTAATTCATCCGTCTCTGCTGGATCCGGTGACTGCTTATAAGAGCACAAAATGGTTTTACACCTTTTTAATTACGCCTTATATCTCCAGAAGGACATCCCGGCAAAGGCTGGGTCGTCATATTTCATACCTCATATTAAGCCACACTCCTTCTCCATTATTTATAGCTCGTTTTATAAAAATTGATGGCCATCTATTAATATTTAAGGTGTAACTAAGCCCTGCCACTGGCCTAACTTTATTTAAGTGGGATTATAGGTCGTTTTAAGTGTCTGAGTGTACAGATAATCACCATGGCCCTATATTGTAAAGGCTGTATGGATGATAGATGGATGGATGTATTGTTTCCCAGAGCTGATTGAGTAAAATAAAGGCCCTTTCTTACATTCACACCAGAAGAGGAGAGGAAACCAGATTTACATCTTCAGTGTGGCATTTGATGGTTCCCACATGGTGCATAAGTTGAAATGTGAGGTTCGGGGGGCAGCCCCCAACCCCCCAGCCCCCCCACAAGGAGCGGATCTTATTCTCCAAGCCGGTGAAACACCACGAGTCGCCCTTAGGCACCGGCAGAGGGACCGCGATGCTGAGACCCCCGCTTCAGCTGCCGTAAATAACCCATACTATGTTAATTTTCCCATAAACACCCTGCACAGGGTGACTGGGTTCAGCCCCCACCACATAAATTACCACGTGTCATCTGCTAGGCTGTTGCCCTCCATGTGGTCATGTGACACGGGTCTCTATAAAGGGGCTCGATTTGGATCTATAGATGGAAAGCGGGGCCATTTGATTTAGGGAGGCTGTGATTTTTATGACGTGACAATACTCAAGTTCAAAAGCTGAACGCAAATCAAAGAGGAATCATTCTAATAAGCGGAGCAGATGTGACTAGTTATGTTTCAACACCACTTTCTGTTTTATTAATATATAAATAACCCATTTGTAGCATTGCTGTTCACAGTGAGGTTTTACATTTTAATAGTTCCAAGAGTGTATGGTGTGTTTTTTTAACTGTTCATTTTGTATTACTATTTATTAATCTGTCGTCATCTTTAATGAAGCCCATGTGTGGGGCTCACTGGAAAAAAGCCACACAAGGACCTAGATGTAAGGAAAATGCAGTGTGGGATCTCTCTCTCCGACCGAAAGAAGTGAGACGTAACATTTTGACTGGCATTTCTCATTAAGATTTGTCTTTGAACACTCGGATCTGATTTAAACAAAACATACAGGTTCTAAGTAAGGTGCTTAATGTGAGTATCTTCGGACATTTTGATAAGAAATGATCATGTCTAACTCCTGCATCTCTATAGCTGAGTATAAAGAATTAATTATATGGATTGTGCCTTATCTCATTCAGAAAGATGTTGTCTGTAGCCACCAACAGAAACTACAGGACTAGTACCTCTGAAGAAAGATACTGTTATTGGGCTAAAAATGACAGATCTAGTGTTTATCCTAAGTGAGTACAGACTCTATCGGGCAGGGTTTCCTAACCCAGTCCCCAGGGACCCACAGACAGTCCAGGTCTAAATGTGAACTTTCTGGCAGGGAGCTGGGAAGGAGCAAAAACGTGGACCGGCTGTGGGTCCCTGAGGACTGGATTGGAAAATGCTGCTCTACAGGGGTCTCTGACCCCTCCTTTACTTTGTGGCGTGGAGTTTGGTGACTCCAATGGTTCTGGTTGTCTGTGAAAGAGTTCCAAGACCGTCAAAGAGTTCCACCCCACTGAACTTGCCTGATATCTCTAAACAACTTACCAGATGCATTCAGAAAAGTGTCCTACAGGTACACAGTTTTGAGAGTTAGACCAAAGCTAATTTGTGATGCTGTCTTCACTCATTTCCAAGGTGTTAATTCTCATTTTACCTGAAACTCACCTATCACACTTACTAACAATGAGCACTGCTTAAAATTCTGCTTTCCTCTTGAGAATAGTCAGGGTTTGTCATCGACTTCACAATACTGGGTACATTTGCACTATATAAAGTCATTTTATTGATGCATCATTCATTATATAAATCGTTTTATCCACAGCAACTTACATGGTTTACAGCGGTTAACCCATTTATAGAGCTGGAGTACACTGAAGCGGTTCTGGTTAGGTGCCTTGGTCCGGATCACATGTGTAGAGGAACCGCCTGCAACTCGATGCCAAGTCACGGGCCTCTCTCACCACGCTACTGGGAACCATCGTCCTCGTAAACACTTGTGAAGTAGTGCGTTTCAATTATAAACGGCATATCAATCGCTGTAATATAGAAGTAGGGAGAATTACACATTGCTGTCATTTGTTTGACAAGTGCTGAGGTCTTTCTCGGCTCACTGGTTTTGGCTCTTCACCAGAAGACCCCCCCCCCTCCCCCAATATGTGCTGCATAATATAAAATCAAACGACAGGCGGCGATGGAGTGATGCTTCACAGTTAAAGCTGAGTATAACAAAGGAGGCAGCGCAGATACAAACGGAAGTGAAAGAAAAACTGGACTGAACCGTCCAAAGGTGGCAAAGCTTGTATAATTTCCCACGTAGACCTTGAAGAAAGTACTCATGGGTACGCTTGAAAGTAACAAGAGTGATGTTAAAGTGAACATCTCTCAGTGAGGACCACCGGCCTCTTTCTGAGAAGCTCCGCCCACTACAGGGTGGGGCCTCGCCTCCAGCTTAAAGCTGATTGGCCCCCTCCCCTTTCACTCACCGATTCAAAACACTCACTGATTCAAAAAAGGCTAATGATAAGGCTGGCCTCTTTTATGCTCTCCACTTTAAAAATCCTAGAATTGCCCCTGTGCTGCGCCACTGTCCCTTCACTCCCCCCCCCCCCCAAACTGTTTATGGCATGCCTGTTTCTCATCTGAGTGCCTTAGGAACGTCTGGGAACCGCTCTGATATCACGGAAATGTCCAGAGCAGCCGGTGGTCCATCACAGAGGAGGTGTCCAGCCTCCCTCTTTGTGAAATCCCCAGTGTCATGCCCCCCCCCCCATCTCGTGAAAGCCTCACTTTTATAACTTTTATACTAAATCCCACATCCGGCTCCACTCTCAAACTGTACACAGTGCCTTTTGGGTTAACACTACCTTCATGTGACGGCAAAGTAATGAAATGCAGAGTAGGAATGACAAAAGAAAAAAAATTATCTACATTCAACTAAAGTTCAATTAATGTGGCAACGATTTAACAAGAAACAAGAGTGTGCAATAGTGCAAATTCTTAAGTTGATGTTTCAAACGTGTCATCTTTGGACTGACGTCTGTTCGGCCCCCAGGGGGCGACGTCAGCGACGACTCCCCCTCATGCCATTCGTGCGATCCCAAACCTGGGAAAACACAGCACAACACAGCACAGCGTTAAGAAGCTGCCTGTTCTCAAAGCCCTGAAACACTGCTGTGTCTTTCCCAACATTACACTCCCTGCGTGTCAAGTTTGGCTAAATGTAGCCTCTATTCTGTGCTTCTCTTATCATGTTTGGTGTCAAAATTGCATTTATAAAACTACTGAAGTGCCCCAATGTTTATGAATTTAGAAGAGGAACAATATAACAAGCACTCCACTCATATCCCGAGAGCCCCATGACTCTTAAAGACTCCCCAAAGAGTGATGCCTGTTTCTCTGAAGTGAGTCTGTTTCTCCTCGCCTGTCATGCACATCCAGTCTGTTCTTTGTGCCAAGTTAACAAGTTAAAATGTTATATTGCTCTGGCCTCCGTGGACGCTGGCCACAAACACGAAAAAAAAAAAAAGCAATCACAGTCAATCTGTTTGTGTCGCAGACTCAGAGGATGTTGTTTTATGAAGTGCTACACATGCTCATTGGTTTGTGGGAAAAGATAATTACATTTCTGCACTGAACTTTAATATCCAGCGGGTTCTTCTGGCTTGGTTGTTCTAAAGTGGTGAGACTTCAATGCTTTCCTAATCAGCTTTTAATGACCCCCCAAGTGAAAAACAGACCTCATTTAATCAACTAAATCATCCAGTTATATAGTAAAGGCTAACGGACAGGCATATACTTCTAAGACTCTTCGTAGTGCGGTGGGGAATTCCATTCTCAAGTCAAGATGTGCAGCGATAATTAAACCATACAGTATATGGTTTGACTGCCACAGTAAATTGGCTATTGCGCTAATTAGCTGGCTGGTGAAATCTAACACATTGGCCACACATGATGGAATACCTTCACTCTCCGCCCAATTCGATCCTTCCACTTCTGAGCAATCGAACCTTCGATAAGCAATAACCTACACAACAACAACAAAACAGTGAACGTAAGAGCATCAATACAGACACACTCCCTCCTTAAGGCTAACATCACTCACTACAGGGCATCGTTAGACCTATTTTAGGGGGGCTTAAGCATAATGCTTTTTAACCCACCCCCCACCAAATAAATGTGTGTTTATTGGCTTAAATCATGAATAGCTTTTTATACTACATATAAGTTTGCCATCACCCCCCAGTAAAGACTCAGGCCCCTTATCCATTCATCTCTAACTACACCCATGACTCAATAGTACTTACATTTATTTACTTTGCAAAGGCTTTAATCCAAAGCGACATACAATTAAGACGTCACATCAATCTGTTGATTAAGGGATTTGAACAGTCTTACCCCACAAAGACCATGCCCGCCCCCGAAGCCTGCGGCCAGCCATACCTGGACTGCTCCTCGCTCTCGTAGCCCATGATCATGTACTCCTCGCTGGGGGTGAGAGGGGGACACGGGCATCCTGAGTTGTAGTACAGCGTCACCGTGTCGCGGGGGATGTTGACGAGGGATGACTTCAGAATATCTTTGACCTCCACGATAGCGCTGAGATCGTGATTCCGACTTCGTATTTCCTTGACTTTTGCTCGAATTACTGGGTGAAAAAAAGAGCACAAGAAGTGAACTTGCAATAACGTAGCTTATGTGAAGATGATGGATGTTTTTCTTTTTTGGTCAAGCACTTAACTATCCCATGCTAAATGCGTCACTTAAAATTGCACAGGATGCCTCCCGACCAGGAATTTGTACATTTATTTTCCTTAACTACTGTTATTCTTACTGCCTGTCTTTTCTTCGTCACTGGTCTTGAACGAAAAACTCACCATAATTATAATTGTTCTTCGTGTATGTCTTGTAACTTAGTTTTACTCCCCTGCATTTGCATCGATCTACGGCAGACAGAGCAGAAGATTATTAGGAATAAAAACAGAACAGTTCAATACTACCTGCAGATCGCCAACATTGTGAAGAACAAGCGTAAGACTTGTCAGGAAGTATCAATTTTTAGCACGGCTGTCCGTTTTCGCTCTTTATCTCAAACTGTCATTATAAAATTCACATTTAAACTAATTAAGATGCATCGTGTACATTTCTGTTGCAGTGATTTATTTTGATGCATAACGGAAAAACCAGCAAATTCAATATTACAATGTTTTCAGCTGCCATTCTGAAAATCCATTGGAGTTCCCACTGACTTTTACATAGCTATATACCTTTATGTATTTTAAATTTCTAAAAGGGCTGGGAGCAAGTTCCATAAGTACATAGCGCCTTCAAAAGTCTACTTAACCTACAAAAAAGTAACTACGAGTATTTTCGTATTCTACTAATTTTTATATATATTTTTTATTCTTAGTTTATTAGAATAATTCATGTGCATGCATTCATATTTTAAATAACACAGGGAAACACTGAAACGGGCGAGTCATAAAAGGCGATAAATAACACATTTATTATCATTATTATTAGTAGTAGTTGTACTAATTTTGGCTGGGAATTACCGAACATAAAAAACAATAAAATCGTTACCTGGCGCTTCCTGCACTTGCACTATCGCCTCCGGAGCGATGCAGACCCCGCGATCGTAGACGGGCAGTTCGTCGCACGCCAGGCTCTCTGGCCATGTGTGGTTGTACTGCTTCATGACCGGCTCACAGCCGGACTTGGCCCGCTCGCACACCGACTTGCACGGCTTTATGGGCTCCTGCTGGAACTCAGGGGTGCAGATGGGACCGTACATGGCGCAGAGATAAAACAGTAGGACCGGACTACACCTGGTCCCAAGCAGTCCCTCGAACTGCTCGATGGCCAGCATCGCGTTTGCCTGGGTGCTGTGGTGGAGGTGGTTGGGCATCTTGGTCATGTTCCAAGGCATCGACTTGCACATCGGAATCCGGACGGGCTCGCACGGCGCCGCCGCGGCTCGGGGTATCCCAACAAGGCACAAGAGAACCAGGAAACTAATATACATTTGGTACGAGAACATCTTAAAGTACAAAAAAAGCAGAAAATTAACTTGTCGTCTCGGTTAAAGAAGTTTTGCAGGAATAAGTGTGAACTGATCCCCAGAATGTCCGATAAAAAAACGAAAGTCTTTATATTAAAAAAAAACAACTTTCCAAAATTACTTATCTAAACATATTTACACTTGCCTAATGCATCACTGGAAACGAGCTGCGTTTCACCCCTCAGATTCTGTAATTAAAAATCGCATTGAAGGCATCTGGTAAAGGCAAAGATCTGCAGAGTAGTAGTTGGCGTTGTCTGGTACTGCTCTCCTAAGCCCCTTATTCCTTAAGTCCATACCGCTTCATTATTCTGCATGTATGCGGGGGTAGCGCTGCTTCTTGCTCAATGAATTCACTTCTCCGGAGAGGTTCCTTTTCAGCTTGCAAATCTCCTCCACCAAGTCCGACCCCCCCCCCCCCCCCACCTCCATCGCCCGTTTGCCTTAAAAGCTCATGTCGACTACTGGGTGAAACTAGTTTGCATCTTTCCTCCCACTGCATTTGTATGTAACATTTAATTGTAACAATCCACGTTGGATTTTTTTTTTTTTAATACCGAGTTAAAGTGCAGCCTAATAATGTTCAAGTTTAATGCAAATTCTGTTTAAACTAGAGCCCCCGGACTTTCAGAAATAAGGACAATGCCAGCACAGATAACAACAGTCACAAAAGCATCCAATTAGTCTTGACACAATAACCTTTAGGAGTGTGTGAACTCAGTGAAAGGCTGGGTACTCGAATTGTCACTGAGCAGAGATAAACACCGAGTTAAGTGGCATCCACAGGGTGCATTTTGATAACTGCCGAGTGAGGGACAAAGGAAGCGGTGCTGATATTAGAGTAGGAGATGAAGTGACAAGGACCGAATGACCAAATTACTTTTCTGCTCAAGGGGCAGTGATCTTCCCTAAGAATTCATTCCCGGGGTTCATAATGAATTTCCACATTAGCACCTGAGATAACAACGAGTATGCTGCGAGTATATGTACTTCAGGCAAACTAAACGTATGAAGGACAAAATTTCCGGTTTTTACACCTATTAACCAATCCCTCAAAGCTGAATTTTAAGCTGGAAATCTGATGTCGAATATTTATACTCATCATATTAATTAGGATCTGCATTGCATTGCAGGCCCTGCAAAATCACCAAAGAGAAAAGATGTTTGATCATAGGACCTTAAGATGATGTCATTACAGGCAATTTCACAGGATCAATGCGGGAAAAATGACTCCGGGACCAGAATCGAGGGCTTGCAGTGTGTTGTATCCCAGATGGACACAGCAACAAACAAGAACACTCACATGAGACCTATCAAAAAAGATATCTGGATGATTATAACCTAATGTTTATTTATGTTATGGAAGATACACTGTAATTTCCAAAATTTTAAAACATATAAAAAGTGGTTAAGGAGAACAGTTTATAAACATTCAATAAATATGCAAGAATGTTTATCATACCATACAGATGGATACATTGGCGTGTCCGGCCCCACGCAGCATCATGAAAGTTAGTTAAAAAATTATACTATGCTTTGTACAAACAACACCATCTGTTGTTTCCATTATGTAGTTACCGACAGCTCTGTTCAGTTTCAAACCAAATGGGAGATGTAGTGTCAAAATACATTTCAAAAGAATAGTGTAAAAATGCAAGTCCACAGAAAAATAATAATAATGCACATTGTAACCCACACAGATGAAATCTAGAACAGCCATCTAAAAAGAACCACAGCGAATCGAAAGCATTTGTCAATAAACAAGCGTTTGTCAATAAATGAGTGTTCTGCATTATTGAAGATACTTAAAATATCACACCTTCTCCTTATAAGTGTTTCTATTTAAATCTTTGACATCTGAAACATAAGCTTCTCAAAAATTAAAAGTAATAGTATCACTAGTTTTCATAAACCAAGCTTGTGTGTTACTATGACAGTTATAAGGGGGGGAAAAAAGGTCATTAAGACAATTTCATGGAGGAGAGGGGAAAAAACAAGGAAAAAATAGAGTTGATATCACAAAGTTTTTGTACTTTTCACTCCAGCAAGATTGCAGATCTTTCCAGGAAGACCCCCCCACCCCCTCTTTACGCTGATGAGCTGACACTCTGCTTGTACACAGCATGGTAGGCGTTTCTCAGCAACACATAGGGGAAGCAGGACTCCAGCAAGTCCATGGTGAGGAACGGCGATTCCTGCACGATCTGGGAAGAGGAGGGACACAGCCGTCAGTGACTGCCATCTTCCCAAGCTGTACCCCGTCCAGCACCCCAGCAGCAGCGACATGTGTGTCTCTGCTCTAGTGTGCGCTTCACAAACTTGATGATTCAGTGTAACAGAATTTTAAGCCAGCACTGCGGTAACTTCCCTGTTACGCCACACCACGCACGGAAAACTAAAATCTGGGAATTATTTGTGGATAGAGTACCATAGCGACATCATTGCATAATCCACATACCACTTTACTCTTAAGTAAAGAAAAGGAGGTAATTTAATGAAACCTGATGCCCAGTTATCAAGCAATGTGAACAACACTATCTCACTGTCAGGGGTTTCTCATTCATTTTATTTTTATTTACTTAGCAAAAGGTTTTATCCAAAGTGACAAACACGTATGAAAGCATGGTCAGCTAATCCTTGGAGCAGTGGTGGTTAAGGCTCTTGCTCAATGGCCCAAAGGCGAAATCACTCTGTTGTCCGTGGGATTTGAACCGACGACCTACTGATGACTGGCAGAGTCCTAACCCACAGAAGCACACACTGCCCCTTAGTTCACAACCATGGTCTGCCAGTAAGTCTCTCAAGCGGATTTGTGCAGGAATACAGCGTTCCACCTGCAGTTTCTCATTCTTCAAAATTTCAGTGTGTACTTTGGCCTCAGAAGTGACAGTTATGATGCTGCGAGGTAATTTCCCTGGTTGGATTATAACAGTCAATTCAGAACACATTATAATAATAGGTTATTTTTTGCCAAGACACATTGCCTTTCTGGGTTACAGAAGTATTACATTTCGCTTTTGTATGAGAGGAAAAGTAAAATATCCCACTATGTTAGATCGTCCTTTGGAGTCTTCTTGTTTCTCTGTGGCTCTTAATGCGAAAACACTCACCATGTCCAGTAGCAGGTAGACCGATTCCCGGTTCCGCGTCGTTACTTTATCCGTTTCCTGGCCGATCTTCAGCAGGCTGGAAGAGGCAAGCTGTGGCACACAAAGAGGGTTATGTCACGGCAGTTGTGAAATAAACGGTCATTTAAGGGGGGGGAAAGAATCGCAAAGGCTGCTCTTTACTCTCTGTATCTGTTAAAGGACTAAAAGATCCACCGGGAAATAAGCTTATAAGAATATGCTGTATTTACAAGCAAAATTACAAGGCAGGAACAACTTGCACTTGTTCAATTCCATCAGAAACAACGTCACATTTCAACACGCATGCAGTAATGTTTCAAAGTAGACTTTGTAAACAGGGGGAATTTCTGGCCACTGTTAAAATAATTGCACTGAAAATAGGATACACATGGCTCCACTGAAACAGGAAAGATCTGTCGTCCAGGAAAACAGATTTCAGATACAAAGAATGACTAACTAAGAGGACTTAGAGAATTAAAGTTAATCAATCTCAGTCAAGAAAATAAAAAAAATAATTACAAATCACATAAATAAATCATCCCCCCCAGAACTGTAATAAATAAAAGACTTAATGAATACTAAAACTCTGAAGAATAAAAACATTATTATTTGAAAAATAAATAAAACTCAGTGATGACTGTTCTTCTGTGAATTGTATAAATGAACAACCGAGTAAGCCCGCGTCTAGGCGGAAAATGCACTTACGGCCAGGAATTCTTTCAGCCGGTCCTCAATGCTGCCCTTGTGAATGGTGAACAGGGCTGCAGCTATCTGGTTTATTGCCTTGGCCAGACAATGAATGTTGTTGCAGTGTCCTTAAAGGAAGAACGTGGTCAGTGCATCCCGGATGGGCCGCACACGCAAAATCACGCCTACATGCTTAACATAACTAACAACCACCCACTATATACACACAGCACATTGCATATATATTTATATTCTACGTTATCCTGTCCCTAGAGCCTTAGCGCATTAGCTTGAGCTGGCTACATGTTGTTTTGACAGGACGAAAGCGACTCTGGTTACCTTCAATGGCGGGACTGTACTGCGACATGACGTTGCTCGCCAGTGTTGGCAGGGAGACGGCCACGAAGACCATCAACAGGCAGGCGATCTTGTACTCTTCCTCAGGGCTGATGTTCTCTGCAAGGCAGGGGCGAGACGGGACACTCAGACGATCCGGAGTGCCTGCCCAGCCGGCCCGTCAGGAGAGCCAAGGTAAACGGCGCTAATTAACTGCAATTCGCATTAACAGGACGACATTTGGGAACGATTCAAATAAGGCGAGCTTGGGTCACCGGGGGTTTAATAACAGCGTCTATTTTGATACTAAACACTGGGGGCTTATGTTGAGCGGTGATGGGGGGGGGAGGCATAACAAAAATGTCCACCTGTGCCAGAAAGCGGGCCGCAGAGCCCCAAAGGCTCCGCGAGCCTGACGGAGTAGCGGTAGGGCTGCAACCACATAACCCTCAGGGTCCTACATGCCGCATGCTGCTCTCCCAGGGGACTTTGTTGCCGTGTGCATATGCATCTGCGGGGCCGTCGTTGCAGAACCCCCCTGCTCGGCGCCCAGCAGCTGCACAGCATTTTGGGTACATTCGGCAGACCTTCCGCCAGATTGGTGCTACTACAAACCAGATCGCCGCAGAAATGGCAGAGAGAATGTGCCCCAAATGGAGATTGCAAAAAGAGGGACTGATTCTCAGGATATACTGCTATACTGTGGAGCCCCCCCCCACTCTCTCAGGTTTGTAATTATATCTTTGTGGGGACTCTCCATTAATTTCATCGGGAAAAACTCTAATCCAAACATGACACCCTTAACCCTTTCCCAGCCCTAACTGTAACCAAACAAAACACAAGTATTTCAGCATTTTTAGTTTTTTGATTGCATACACAGATCTTGTGGGGACCTGAAAAATGATCCCCACAATGTAAAAATATCAGGTTTTTATTACATTGTGGGGGACATTTGGCACGCACAGACACACACTTTCACTGAAGGTGCAGAAACTGGAATTCCATCTGCATGTCCCCCTCATTCCCACAGGAAGTGAAGGCTGCAGCGATGGGGGCAGCTGAGAGCCAAGATGATCATCTAACCCCCCTCCCTGGTTTAAACCAGCCCCCCACACCCCAGTCTTGCCACGTAACACCTGGATCCACTAGCCTGGAATTCAACATGGAAAAAGCACGCGCAATTTCCAGCCTTGGCACCCAGGCCCGGCAACTTATATTTGCTTTTTA